GTGGTCGCGGTGGCAGAGGGGGTCGCGGCGCGTCGTCGGCAGGACGGAGAGGGCTCAAGGTCTTCATCCCGACCCAGCTCGGTGTGGCACTCATCACGGGATTCGATCGCATGGAATTCGAAACTAGTCTGGGCAAGCCATTCTTGCGGAAAGAGATGGAGAACAAGATGAAGGCAATCTGCGACGGGCGCATGACCAAGGAGGCAGTCCTGCGGGAAAGTCTAGGCCAGTACCGACAAGTATTCCGGGACTCGCAAGAACGGCTCAACGTTCTCAAGGCAGTAAGTCGGAGTTCCATCACTAACACGCTTACACGCGCTGACTTTACTAGGCGTGTCGCGAATACATGTCGATTCGCGAGTGAGCCCGGCAATTCGATGTTCGTGATAGCAAATAAGGGCTCAGCCCTTTCGTAGTATGCGAGACGCGAAAGTATCAAAATGAAGTGGGATAATCCCAAACATCGTCGTCGCGGTAGCATGGCTCCATACACAAACAAGGACCACGGGGCGAGGTTTCCTTATCGATGGTGGCCCACAGGAATCCAAACGTGGGTGTGACGACTGGTGCGTTTGGAGAGACCACCTCGTTCCGAGAATCGGCGCCGTTGGCTATTCCACGTTGGCTAGCTCCGAACAAGCTGCGCGACATATCTACAAATTCCATCATCGTCTCATGGCGGCTAAGGTCAGGTCAGCACGCACACCGGTGCCTTTGGTCGACCGGCCGTTCGGGACTAAGAGCAAGGCAAAACGGAAGAGGTCGGGAAAGGCGCAGTAATCATGAGCGCGGAGGGGTGTGATGGACCCCGCCGTGATATCTTGGACAAGAAGCGGGGTGAGGCGGCTACTGCAAGGTGCAGTGGTGGGTGTGCCGCCCGCGCGAAGGAGGGGGCAACCCGGGCAGAAATCGGCCCAAAGGCGGAGGATTTCCCTAGGATCATTGGAAGCCGAGAGAGGTTGCGTAAACAGAGGAGGCACATTGCGGCGACGCGGGATTGAATAACCCCACAGGACTTCCCGAGGGAGGATTAGGAACAAAAGATGGGCACACCGGCCATCGGGAGGAGGAGGGAGGGGGTGTCTGGTCTTGTGGGAAACGAGAGCCCGCCCTGGGAAGGCTAAGAGGGCTTTCTTAGAGCCCGAAGCCTCGACGATGCAGCATGTCACAACGTGGGGTTTCGTAAGTGGATGACAGTGACAGACCACGGGCTCACGATGGAGGAGCCTGATTCGACGACGAACATTGACGTAACTACCTCAATGTGAATACTGTGTAAGGTAGAGTTGTATAGTTGCGGGTTGAGAAGCATCAAAGTGCCCACATCGACGAGACGAGATGTACCGTGAAGTATACAAATCTAGAAACGGGTATTTCTTGTTGAAATGTTCCTTGCATTCTGGGTCGCTCAGAAACGTACTTAGATAGAAAGCGTTGCCCTAGAGAGGGTTCATCCGGAGGGGCGTGAGTGATTCTTTGCACGCAGATCACAAATGAGCACCATGACCAATCAGATCATGGCCTGGGCGCAACGTGATGGTTGCGCACGAGAGAGTTGGTTGGGCAAGCAAGTTGCGCGAATTCCGGGGGAGAGAGAGGAGAGAGAGAAAGAGACCTGAACCTTTTTTGCGTCAAAAGATGAACATGGTCTTATTCCATTCCAGGCTTGTAGCTGAAAGCTTGATGCAGCCAGCCACATAACCATTGCACGTATCCCTCTGAAGGGGGAGTAAAGGTAGCGTAGCCAGGTACAGAGTCAACACTACGAGATTTCTGTTGAACCCCACGATACCTACTCTCTATTCGGATGTCACTACATTTTGTGGTCTTGACACCCTCCGTATGCGGTACGTCCGACTGCAGGTTGAGTAAGGCCTTTTCCGAAACGCCGAATCCGCGCCAACGAAGTGATTACGGCGGTGCGGGAATGTTTGCCCGGATGCATGCCGCATGGCATATCAGCACATCACCTTTGCATGAGGGTGGATGAAGGAAGAAAAAGAGGGGGTTGAAATCGTTTATAGATATCATATGGAATCCTCTATTAGGTATGTTATATTCTGTATTACCTGGTGAATTTGGTTGGTCGGACCGCTGCTCTTGGGTATAGAGCGGCCATTAGGGGGCGTGAAAGTTGAAAATCAGACCAGGTGAGATGCGATTGATTTGATTTGATTCTGGGCCAGCTGCAAGAAGTCAAGGCGGAAAGCAAAGCAGAGCGAGGCAAAAAGCACATGGACGGATTCGATCGAGTACAGAACACGGAGGGTGCGGCGATTGCTGAAGAAGGTCGTCAGCATGCCGCCCATCGCGAAAGAGGGCAAGGCGTACGCAGGACCTACCCACGCCGGTACGGGAAAGCGGAAAAAAATGCAGCTGTTACCTTGGGTACAAGTAGAAGCCTAGAACCACGGGTGGCTTTTGCTTGAGGTCATTGGGGCCAAGGAAAATCCGGGGAGGAGGGAAGGCGAAGATGGGATGAGGGGGAATTCACTGCGATGTGCCATTACACGGATACGGATTACCTTCTCAGAGATGCCGAATAAGGTATCCTTATACGAATAGGATAGGCGCCTCAGCCGACGCGGACGCGGTTCGGCCGGGTCTATGGGGTTCATGGTCAATACCTAACAGATCAGAAGTTGAGGCGCGCCTTGAGAGATAAGCCCACGCATCGCGATGTTCCATTCTGGCGGTTGATGGTCACCAATCTGGAAGATGACAGCGGATTACAGATAAGGCAGCTGCACCTGCGACCACCACAGTGTCCAAAATTGCAGAAGTTGGGTTTTGTGTATCTTTGATGTGGAGTTAGTCAGAGCCACAGGGCAGGGCGAGCAGGGCGAAAGAGAGAGGCGTGGGATGGGATGGATTTCAGCTGTACCGTGGGGTACAAAGCAGCTACTCAGACTCAAGAGCAGCTGGTTGATAGAGACACCCCACCCATTGGTCCAAGACGGTCCAGTTTCCAGTTGCTTTACCCGTCACGAAGCCATTGCTGGTGGACTCTGTGCGTGGTCACTGGTTGATGGTTGTAGTCTTGGCGCCCATTTCTTCGGAATGGCGCAGTGTGCGAGGTCAAAAGTAAAATAGATGTTCGGTACGATATTCGAAGAAAAGGAATTGCATTGAGAAGAAAGATGAGCGAAGGGGTAGGGGCAGTGCGTTGAACCGGCGATTTTCCAGCTGAAAGCTCGTGGTTGTGACTTTGGGACGCAGGTTTAGTCAGGTCTGGAGTGTCGATCATCTCTAACGCGACGGTTTTAGACCTGGTGTAAGAGGACACGTCGTCGCGTCGGCGACGTCGGACTAAGGCCTCTCTGTAAGAGTGTAGCCCGTGATATACGATACGTCTTCTTAGTTGTGAGATGGTTTGCTTGAGACTAGCTTCCTTGTCTCGATCTCATCCAAGGAAAGGAGGCCAGAAAAATGGACGATGACGGTTGAGTCCTCGTCTTGTTCCTTTCTTGGAAGTTGAGTGAGCGCGTGTCTCAGACATATCCGGTCTGGATCGTCCCGCCGGCATACGGATGCTCATTAACATTCGTAACCACCCAGAAATAATTAGGGGGAGAGCATGAAGAAAAACAGGAACCAGACATTTCGAACCTGTCATTGCTCAGGCTGCTGCTGCTGGAAATCTGCACGAAATTGCGCGTTGCCAAAGGCTCGGTTTGACTTACACGCCCCCTTGCACTTTCTCTGACCATGAAGGCATGGAGACATGGGATGGGTTCTATTCAGATTCCATCAAGACTTCCATTCCGCCATCTCCACGGCGCCGTCCGGAAAAAGGGGGTATTAAGGTCAAGGGAATAAGAGGCGCTCCAGGGTAAAGAGGAATGTCAATCTCGCCAAAGGGAAGAGTTTTCTCTGGCTTTCTTTTTCGAAGCATCTCGATCACTGCGATTGACCAAAGCGCCAGAAAGCTTTGGGAATCTCCTACGCCAAAATCAAAATTGCAACGTCCGAAAATAGGGGGATGATGGCGACAAAAAAATACAACATGAAAATGTGTGTGTGTTTCTGTGTTCTGTGCGGTGATGAAGGGCCCTCTCTAGCACTCTGGCCCCTGGTTGTTTTGACAAGGCCCCCGGTCTGTGTTGGTATGGTCGCACGTTGCTGGTTGCTGGGCTGAGAGTACATCGCACTAGGAAAGAAATGGACTGAGAGAGCGAAGCTGCGGGTTTGCGATTGATGACGACACTGTCGCATTCTCCAGTCTCCCGCAGCATCAGTAGCAGCAAAGCAAACTTGACGGCCGCCGAGGTATCCATTTCAAACCCCGTCCGTCCGTTTCTGCTGTTTCCGTCTGGGATAGCAGCAGTATTAGCAGCAGCAGGAAGAAGCACACTCCCACAGCTCTCCAGCGAGCCAACCATTGCAGTGCTTTGGTGCTTGCCTGCAAAGCTGCAGTTGCTTCAGTGGACACCGGTCCCGTGGTCGCGTCTCCCAGCGGCTTGCTGGCGGGAAAGACTTCAGACATGGATGGGACATGGGTACGGATACATGGGGGGTTTGACAGGGGGCAATGGCATTGGCACGGGATCCGGACAAAGGAAGCGGGTGGGTTTATTAGCGGGTACGGAACGGGTAATGAATCAGAGGTTGACAAAGCTTGACGATAATGAGATATGGATATATGTCAAACTGTGTGTGCGGTGTGGGAGGGAGCAGAGATCGCGATTGGGGTTCTCGAACCCTATCACCACAACCTCCTGATTGTGTGTGAATGAAGGGGGGAAGAGGAAAGGGCAAAGAGTCAAAATGCCATGAGTCGGAGTTCGTGTTATCGAGGGTGGATCTCCAAGGGGGCTTGGATGCCATGGATAGGAATGGATAGGAATGAGACGGGATAAACGGAAATGGAAACAGGGACAACTTGGAAGCAAAGTTTCATGGCTGAGCCTTTCGACACCGTACCTCAAAAATAAGGTACCGTGACAGAAGTGACAGACAAGTAAAAGAGTGAGAGAGATCCCCGACAGATTGGTAAGCTCTTAGGCTGCACGCTGTACCCGAGACGAAGGTTTCCATTTTACCGTGCCCAGTGTGCCATAGGACGGGATCACCGGTTGGGATACACTATGCGCGGTGGGCTTGATGGTGATATTGTGGTTGACGCGGGCGCCGGCGACGCGGGTTTGATGCGCATCTAGAAGCAGCCCTTGGACCTTGGCTTGGCTCATGGGGTGAGTGGAAGGGGCGGGAGAAGGCAACTTCGAGAGCTGAATGACCTGTGTGCGTTGTTGTGTGTCTGTTTCGTCGACATTGATGCCCTGAGGCTGGCAGGGAATCGGTGACTTTGCTGCTCGCCTTGCGCTGCGGGTTTGTTGTAACTTGTGACTGGCAATCCATCATCTGCTTGACTCTTGGCTCCTGGCATAACCTCTCGATAGTGCGGCGTTTGACACGATGATCGGGTGTCCGTACTCTCTTCGTTTTCACCGTCGTTTCTCGATCCTTGTATCAAGCTTATTATGGACCTGTCTAAGGTGGAGAGTGGTCTGGACACTGAAGGTCGAACAGTTGGTTATTGGAATGGACTCCGAATGGAGAAGCGCGTTATGGGCTAGGCCGGGGATCAAGTGCGTGGGCTTGACTGCAATTCCGGAAGGCCACGGGTTGCTGTCCCCCTTCCCCTACCCTTGGCCCTGGGGCCTCTGGGGCCTTTTCTCCCAGGCCTTGGATCATCACACTTACCGGCCGACCCTATCGGCAGTCCGGGGAAGACAACGAGGTGGGAACTTCGTTTCAGTAGCTTCGGGTTCGGCATGGGGCATGGGTATGGGAACTTGAGAAGAAAGAAGACCAAAGTGAGCGGCGCCAACGCATGGGGGGACGTGTCTTCTGGGTCCGTCGCGGAACTGCTGTGTCGCGGACGCTTCAAATCATTCATGGATATGGATCGCATGGGACCTTGGACCTTGAAGGCGTGAACCTCTGTATCTCGAGGTATTCGCATCGATGGCTGGTTCGGCGGTCAAGCTCGGGGACAGGAACGGGACAACGAGATGGAGCCCGCCCAAGCTCCGTTCATGTGGATTGTTTGGAGGTCTAGGATGGAGTTTAGAGCTGTCGATGAGTGGGTATTTTCCTTTTTGATGGGTTCCAGTTTGCGGTTTGTGTGCGGTGTGCGTTGAAGCTGTATGAGTATCCGTCGTTGAAATTGGGTATCGTATCTGCAAAGGTACTTTGATCAAAGGAAAAGCAATCGGTTGGATCAAAAGGTCATAGAGTCTGGGTAGGACCACTGGGGAAGTTGAGAGTTCTCTCCCCTTACCCAGCGCTGGACGTTAAGGTCAGATCGTCCAGGTGGCAGGTAGGATCATGAAAGAGTATCAGATCAAAGGTTGATAAGGATCTCTCGATGATAAGGTCAAGGCGGACGAGGCAAGTGTCTCTAGACCGTAAGAAGGTGGCAGGTAGTCTCTTCAACTCCTCATCTGCCTGGCCCGTCATCAGCAAGGGCGATGACTCCTACTCAGACCCAGGGGAAATGGAATCAAATGGGAAGGGAAGATACGGAAGCACAGGTTTGGAGGCATGAGGTACGAGGTGCACGAAGTGTGCGACACACTGTGTACAAGATGCCTCTGCGGACTGCAACAAGGTGAAGGTGGGAGTGTGAGAGAAAGTAGGAGGATAGCAACACCCCTCTTTCTCTCTCCTTGCCGGTTTCCCATCTCCTCTCGCAGCCGGGGATTCCTTATTTTGGTATCAGCGACCCAGCCACACATACCTCGTCCTTCAGACACACACACGCACACACACACACACACACACACACACACACACATACACCATCCACACTCAGATACCGTCAGTTGACACCTGGTGACCAAGACTTGACACCCGTGGCCGCAACTTGCCACCCCCAGGGTGTGTATCCAAGTGGTGTTGTTCTTGCTCATTGCCTAATGGTCCATCCGTCCTTCACCTGCGCCAACGCCAGCGGCGTCCGTCTCCTTGCTCCTTTCCTGTTGTCGCTGTAGTTGATGTTGCGTTGTCGGGCCTTGTCTTACCTTTTTGCCTTGGTCTTGCTCTTTGGTGCTTGAGACTGGAGGGTGCCAGGTGCTCATCCATCCATGATCCGGCCATCCATCCATCGCCTTCCCTTCCTTTCGCCGCCACGGGCCTTTGTCTTCTGCAGGCGGTTGAGTTCGGTACGGGCGTCAGGTTTGGCTGCATGTTGCTGGAGAAAGCACCCGGGCTTGCCAAAGCCAAGCTGCACTGCATCAACATGCTCTCTGTCTATCCGTCAGTCATTCTCCTTCTCCTCTCTCTTTGTACTGGCTCTCTGGGGCTCTTTGCCTTGTACCAAAGGAGACTGGCCCGCCACAGAAAGCATGGAGGAGTCACCAGCATGAGAGGTACGGAGTAGATACCGAGGAAGTAGGAGAGAGAGCGAGGTACATGGATGTACCGCAGTTGACTGCGGATACCTTGGATCCTGGGTTGCATCCGTCCGGTACCGTGGGTACCTCCTGACCCCCGGTCGCCGTCTCTTGACATGCCCCAGGTCTTGCAATGTACCCCATGTACCTCCCTTTCTCCTACACACAACACACACACACACACTTCCTCAGCCCAGCAAAGAGGAACAAGGTAAGAGAGAGCCGACACCAAATGATGGAGGTACCGCGTATGTCTGGTGTGTGTGTGTGTGTGTCGCTCTCAGTCATTCAACAGTTAGGTATGAGTCTGTCTGTCACTCCCATCCATCCCATCCCATCTCCGTATCCGTCCACCACCACGGTCCCTTTTACTTTAGCCCTGGCCGTCGCACTCATCTCACCCTCCCTTTCCTTTTCCTCTCTTCTCTTCTTCAACGCAAATACAACATCACGAAGAACCACAACCCAATACTGACGAGATTCTCTTGTCACAGTCACGATAATCGCAACAGCCACAGCAACGCCAGCCTGATCTGCCAACAAGTCTACTAGTCGACCCGTCGAACTGAGCCTACCTGCACAGTTCCACACTTGCATCGCATCTCTTCCGCTTCTAGCAGTACGTCAATAGTAAACCCTATCCTACCGCACAGCACCGCACTGAACTGCGTCACATCCTCCTCCTCCTCCCTCTCCCACCTTGGTGACTCAACACCACCACTTCTCATCGTGGGATTCCTCCCACATACTCTACCAGTCTCATCACTATTCCTCTACTCAGCACCTGTAGCTAACCATCGATCGCTTACAGACACGTCTAGAAGCACCAGACACGTCTAAACGACATCATGGCGACCATGGCAGCTGCTGCTTGCGATATCCACCAGGCCTCCAACATGAGCCGAGACAACTTGACTGTTGTAGCGGCTCGGAGTGTTCCTGCGACGACTGTGACACGATCTCACCCCCTCCCTACTCCTCCCAACTCCATCTCTCCCGCCCTCCCGCCTCACGGCCTCAAGGCCCAGCTTCAGAAGGCCAGGCTCGAGCCCATCGACTCGGACCTCGACCTGCACGACGACCCGACTGGTCGCAGGCAAGCTTCGCGGTCACCCTCCTACGATGCCACCGGTGCTATCAGCACCACCCTGCTGGCCAAGCACCACCTCCCCGAGATCCTCCTCAACCACGGCCCTCTGGCTATCCGTCACATCATGGGCTACCTGACAACGTCTGTTCCGGGCTTCGCAGGAATCCCGCCGACAAAGGCGCGTCGCCTGGTCGTTGGTGCCTTGGAGGGTCGCGGAGGCGAGGGCGGCGGACCGGATGGCGATGTGGAATTTGAAAAGGTGGGCTGGGGTCGATGGGATGCCCGACGACGTGGTCAGGCCGCGCGCGGGTCTACACCCCCTACTGACTACCGATCTGGCATTCCCATCAACAAGACCAGTGGACGCGGCTCCGATAGGTCTCGCCTGAACGTCGCCTCGTCCAGCGCTGGAGATTCCATCGTCTTCTCTCACGACGACCGCGACGCCATGATGATGGAATGCGAAGCGGATAAGATGTCCCTGGATGGCTCGGCCTCCGCCTCGTGCTCCGAGGCTCCGGATGACGATGACATCGCTATGAATGATGATCCCGAGGACGCCACCGATGACGAGGATTGGGCTGCCGTTGGAGCTGCCGCTCTGCGCGCCGAGTCTTACAACACAGCCGGCGCAACCGCACAGTCTGCTGGACGCAGCTTCCTCTCCACCGGTGTATATAACTCGGGAGGAATGCGAACTGTCTCGACTGGCATGGCACGCTCACTCCAGCCCATGCCCTTCGACTTCACAGCGCTCCAGGGCCCGTCTGACGCGCAGGAGCGTGAGGCGGTCGAGGCTCTGTTGCGCCTGGGTTCTGTATAATACCTTTTTTTGCATAGCACGGCGTTGGGGGATGGAAGGTCTGCGCTGTGCGATCGGTCTGTTTGACCGATGAGAAAACATGTCTCCTATTTTCATTGGATTCGGACTGGTTGGCTGGGTTGGCTGAACCAAGGATACCGTGTCATGACTTCCTTGACCGAGCCGGCGCGCTCTGGGTCATGCATCGCCATTCTCTGGCATTTGTCATGGCACGGCGGTTCTACACTACATGGGTTCGGCGTTCCTGGCATTGGAACGGTAAATAACGCCCTCGCGCGAAGGGCAATCATTGTGGCCTTGGGCACCACTCTGCATTACGATCAAGGCTCTACTGGAGGATACCCCGACATATTTGGTCATCAACACGTTTCGACTCACTACTACTTGGGCCGGCTGGCTATCTTGGGGACTGTCGTGTCATCTCCCCGCCTCTGCCTGTTTGGTCTCGTCTTGGTACCTGGTTCGGAGAATCTGAGCCCTTACCACAATCTTTGTTCGGCTTTCCCCAAGCATCGGTCTGGTTGAGACCAAGGCAACGCGGTGGCGTCGACGACAGGTTGGAATGGGCTGGCCTGACAACACCACCTCCCCACAGACACACTTCGATTCTTTCCCATTCATGCGTATACCACATTTTGCACATACCCCCTTTTGCTTTTTGTTCACACATCTGCATCTCCCCACTTCAACACGCCGTGGGGAATTACATCATCTGGCGCTGGGCGAGCTTCACCTCGTCAGCCATCACACTCCGCGCCCCTTTTTGCGCGCTTCGCACCAACACCTGTTTAATTAGTTTTGGGGTTGACGAAGACGACGAAAAGATTATGGATATTCGTGTCACATGAACACTGAATACATACGACACATTGATTGTGTGTTTGCGAACTGGAAGAGTCAGCATGAGCTTGGCTGTTTGGCAACTCTCGCGGAGGACAGGACGCGCAGTTAGAAACGAGGAACCTTGGTGATGCTCGGCTCGCTGATATCGCCTACCTATACGATCGGCTTCAGAGCACTATGTCTTTAGGACATGAGAAAGAGCAGAGGAATTGAAACCAAAATCAAAGAAAAAAAGGAATAAGAGAAATTACCTCCCTCTGGTTTTTTTTTGTTTTTTTGGTGAACGGCGGGATCTGGGTTTTCCGGGATTGGGCGGCTAGGTCTAGCTCTCAAAGAATGGAACTCTTGATTGTTTCGTCCCATCCTAGCGGTGTTGACTGTCGCGTGATTACTCGGTGTGCTTTTGTGATTTATGTACGCTGACGTCTCCTCACAGTGAAACAGTGCCCATGTCGAGATGGATCGTTTGTACCAGTCGAGACACTGCTCCCAAGGTGATCATCACCCTGAATTACTGGTTGAAGGTCTGGTCAGAAGACAGCCTTGATGTTGCTAGTGAGCATGGTCTGCTTCTTGGGTTGATTGTGGCTACATGTTGTCGAGAGGCTTTCCAATATGCATTGTGGTCTGGAGACCTTCAGGGGGTTCCGCCGCCTCATGAAAAGTATCTCACGGCTTGCTCTGCATATATTGTTGGCAAAACTATATCTGCTATACCAAGCAGAACATGTGAGTTCTCACGAGCATTATGAGTTCGTAATCTGATAAGCTGAATGAATGGCATAGATAACCAAAGTGTTGGTTTACCAGAGTCAAAGCCAAAGTTCTCTGCCTCTTTTCACTTGATGAGCCCCTTTTGTGGGCTTTCGTCCTCTTTTCAACTTGGTCACTCGTGGGAAACCAAAACATCCACAGAGAAGTACTCGCACAAAAGATTTTTGTGTATGTATTGCAATTACTGCTACAGTAACCATACCTTCAAGCCACCGAAGAAGGCACTTCTAGACGAGAAACTCGTTGGGCACATACAACGGCATAGAATCCTCCCACAAACTATCCGTCAGCATCCGCTTATTCGACCCGTCCGCGTCCATGACGATGATCTGCCCGTACGGCTGGAACGTCTGGTCATAGATGGCCGCCTCGTCCCGGAAACCGTACATGCCGCTGGAATACAAGATCCGCCCGTCGTGCGACCACACGGCGTGCGCGTCGTTTGCGCCGCTGGACGTGAGCGTCTGCAGGTCCGTCCCGTCAGGCCGGATAGTGCAGACGTCGAAATTCGTTGCCGACGTCTTGCGCGTGAAGACGATGCGCTCGCCGTCGGGCGACCAGAAGGGCAGGTTGTCCGTCGCGTTGGTCAGGCTCCGCACCGTCTTGGTCTCGAGGTCGATGACGCGGAGGCCGTAGCGGACACCCCACTCGCGGAAGACGAGGCTGCGACCGTCCGGGCTGTAGGAGGGGAACCCGGAGTGGACGGTGCCGTCTGTCAAGGCCTCGTAGTAGCTGCCGTTGGAGGTTGTGCGGTAGACGCGGGCTTTGCCCGTCGCGCGGGACTGGAACCAGGAGCCTAGCCCGAAAGCGATCCACTGGCCGTCGCTGGACCAGGCTGGTTGGAAGGCGCCGGCGAGGCCCTTTGCGACGAGGGCGGCGTCGATCTCGCCCGTCTTGGAGGAGTCGAAGACGAGCTTGAGGTCGGTGCCGTCCGGGTTCATGGAGACGATGGAGGAGTTGCCGAGCTGCTTCTGGGTGATCACGAGGCGGCCCTGGAGGGAGAGCTGGGGGAAGACGTCGGTGGAGCGGTATTCCCAGTCCGCGTCCCAGCTGTAGAGGGGCTTCTCCATGGCGCGGGCGGTGAAGCCTACTTTCTCGTAGATGACGAAGCGGCCGTCTGGGGACCAGGCTGGCGAGCGGATCGCTGCTTTGACGGGTGCGTGGGCGCCGGAGGTGTAGTTGTACCCTTCGTTATCGCCGCCCTTGATCAGATAGGCGATGTTGTCGCTGCTGGATTCATCCGAGGTGCTGTCGTCATCAGCCAACCACTGCGGGAACATCTTGACGCTGGCGCCAGAGGTATGCTCGATGCGGTCTTCTCCCGTCTCGAAATCGACCGAGACGATCTGAGAGATGGCGGCGGCGAGGGACTCAGGCCGGTGCGCATCCCACGTCTGCTCGGTGGTGATCTCATAGTAGAGGATGCGTTTCCCGTCGGGGCTCCATTTCGGCGAGCCGAGACAGTATCCCGTCTTTGTGGCGACCTGGCGGAACCCGGAGCCGTCCGGCCGGACAACGTAGACGGAGAGCTCTTGAGTGTGTTCCCAGCCGGTACCGTTGCCGTGACCCCTCCAGGCCGTGTTGCGGTCCGAGGCGAAGGCGATCCACTCGCCATCCGGGGACCAGCTGGGTCTGAAGTGGCCGTCGGGCAGCAGAGGGTCGCCGGCGATCTCGGGGGTGTTTGTGAGGTTGCGGCGGACGCCGGTGGCGATGTCGAGGACCCAGATGTTGGCGCGGTAGCCGTTCTCGGTGGAGACGTAGACGAGTTTTGTTCCGTCTGGGGAGAGGGCGCCCGCGTCTTCGACAGCGGGAGTGGCGATGAGCTCTTCCAGATTGGAACACGAGGCAGATGTCGAGTTACCGGTGCCGGCAGAGGAGAAGCTGCACCGGTAGAGGTCCGAGTTGCCGTCGCCGTTGCGTTCGGTGGTGAAGGTGACGTATTTGCCGTCCGGAGAGAAGGCGGCGTGGTACTCGAAGTTCGAGGCGTTGCCGAGGAGCTTCTGCTCGTTTGTGCCGTCTGCGTTGGCGATGTAGAGCTCCGAGGTCGAGGGCCCAATGCGGTTCATGAGGAGGACGCCCTTCTTGCCGTCTGCGGCGGGGAGGCCGCGGGCCGAGTGGGCCTGCGGGAGGGAGGCGAGGTTGAAGTCGGCGCGGAGCTGGTGGACGTGGCGGGCCGAGGCCGACGAGGTGGCCAGGCAGAGGTAGACGAGGGAGGAAAGGAGTGACGACCGCATCTTGAGGGGCATGGGTGGCGAGGCACACCGCTTTGGAATGAACGAGAGAGAGGTGGTGGTAGGAGAGAGAGAGAGAGAAGAGAGACCCGAGGTCATCTACATTCTTTCGTCTGGTATTTGTCTTTCTCGAAGATGGCTCGACTTTGCCATCGCCAGCACTCTCGCACATGGTAGAAGTCCGAGAAGGACCCAGGAAGGGGAAGAGCTTTCACAGCAATAAACCAGGGTCCTGGACATCGGCACTGCAAGGTACTCTTCTCTGGGATATCGAGAAGTCTGAGTCTTTTCTCAGGAGAGAAATCTTATTGGCTTCCATGACGATTGCGACGTATTCCTTCCCGCTCAATTGCCGCTTTCCGCCATGAGCAGCGGTTCAGAGTCTTGGCGGAGTGGAACATCGCGGGTGTAAAAGAGCTTGTTTGGAGAAACTCCAAAAGTTATCCCCCGTTGGGGGTGACATCCTGGGTTCCTGAGCGGGTTGCCATTCGATCGGACCAGCCCCACCGAAGGGCTACTCTCGGATAGCTCCCGTAACTTAACTTCTCTACTCCGTAATGCAAGACTGATCGGACCTATCTAACAGAGTCAATTGCCATTAAACACCGCATGAGGAAGGTTCTTCTCTTCCGGAGGGCGGTATCCAATGGTGGTGAAGGATTTTCTAACCCTTTCTCTTCCATGTGCGTTCTTCCCTAAGACTCCGATGAAGAAAAAGTTTTAGTAAAACGTGGGTGCGTGGCTGCGGGGGAGATGCGAACGTTGTTGTACTGGGGTGGATGATCCCGTTCTCCTCCTCCTCCCATAGGCTATCCTGTAGGCTATCGAGCTAGTTGCATGACGTTAAAGTCATGTTAGGTTGTCTTATCAATCAATCGATTCCTTAAGGGGAGGCTCAATTTTCCTCAGACTCGCTATGCATAACTTCGGCAGAGATCGGTCAGAAATCGGCAACCGACATGTCAGTAAACGCAGTGGCCTCCTTGCATCCCATACTAGCAGGTAGGAGCCGAGGTTCTTTACTCGGTCTTCGGCATTTGATCAGACTGCAAGTAGATCTATCGATGTTTGGCTCTACCAAGTGGATAGTCAGGCGGTATAAGAATGGGGGTGCGGAATGGTGTCTCTAGAGGAAGTATAGCCGATGCAGGGCAACACTCGATTCGATGTACATCAAATTTTCCTTAGACTGTACCAGATGATCTGTTTTCCTTTACGAGAAACTCTCCTGCAAAGTGCGACAATCCTTGGGATACAGGAGCACTAGTATCTGCTTGTTTAAACCAACACTGTGACTTTCTTCGATGCAGACTTATGCAAGAAGTTCAGACCCGCGAACATACGACGTGTCGCTATCTAAAGAGTTGTCAAGCAGTCTGAACACTTCAACTCCATGACGACCTGCATGCGCCACACCATCTTCCTCCCGCCGCTGACCTGCAAAACATCTGCAGTTCTGTTACCTTGACTGCCAATGGGCTCTCGCCAGCGGACAAATCGGGCAAGTGGCGCTCGGGTTCGGGAAACCACATCCTTGTAGCATTCGGCTCCTGTGTCCTGGTCTCTGACCCCATCACCCAAGCAAAGTTTCCAAGTGCCATCCCACCTATGATCACTAATTGCAGTTCGGATTGGTGAGATTCTCAGAGGAAACAGATAAAATCGAAGGCATGGATATCATGACAAAATTCTAGCCCCGTAGGATTGTGCAAATTCGCGAACCTGCCAGGACACATCGTGGTTTCGCTTGTGAAGCATTCGCATTCAAGCATTTTGATTGTTACTCATAATTGGTGCAAGCCCGAACCGCTTTTCCTGACCTCTGACCTACTACGATACAATATAAACCAACTTGGTTCCGCTCACCTTGCCTTGTCTAACAAGATCAAGACCCTTCAGAACGCCTTCGAGGCCGCTTCCACCCTCATTCACAGTAGGCTTGTGAGCCACAATCTTGCCCTCCCCCAACAGCCGCTCGGTATCAGCCCAGAACTTGCTCCCAAACTCTAGATCCGCCGGGATCGCCGGCAAAGCCTGCGGGCCAAACTGGCACGGCTCACCGATGGCAGTATACGCCAGCGTCATCTTGGGCGTCACCTTGCTGTTGATCGCCGAGACGAGCTCCGCCGGCACGGGCCGCAGGGTGGAGTAGACGCCGCCGTCCTCCGCGATCGCCTTGACGCTGATGTCCGCAGACGATTCCGAGGAAATGCAGTCCAGCACGTGCTTCAGCTTGCCGCCCGCGCTCTTCTTGATGTCCTCCACGACGGTGGCAGACTTGTAATCCAAGATTTCATCGGCGCCCAGCTTCTTCAGGTAAGCAAAATTATGAGGCGAGGCCGTCGTGATGACGTACAGACCAGACAGCTTGGCGTACTGGATCGCCAGCGCGCCGGTCGCCGTGCTCCCGCCGTAGATGAGAACGGGCAGCTTCTCGGTGCTGGGCTGGTCAAAGTACGGCAGGCCGAGACTCTGGTACAGGCCCTGGCCCACGGTCGTCACGCTAACGCCGAGGGTGGCGGCCTCCTCGAACGTGACGTTGTCCGGGATGCGGAGCTGCAGGTCGCCCTTGACGGTGATGTACTCGGCAAAGGTGCCGTCCTCGTGGTGGACGGCATTGGACCCGTGCGCGACGCCGGCGATGCGGTCGCCCTTCTTGAAGGACTTTGCGACCTTGGAGCCGACCTCTTCGACGATGCCGGCGTAGTCGCAGCCCACGCGGGCTCCTGTGACGGCAAAGAGGTCGATGTGGAGGATGTCGGTGGGGTTCAGGGCGACGGCCTTGACTTTGACGATGAGGTAGTCGTCGCGGAGCTTGGGGATGGAAGCTTCGACGACTGAGGCCTTGCCTGCTCCCTGGATGACGATGGCGTGGTTGGAAGACATTTTTGTGTACATGTAATGGCTCCGTGTATTTGCTTGAAAGATTGATTGCAATTTGGTAGTAATGAAGAAGGATATCGGAATCTTTACGTAGACATCGTTCCTCAATTGTCATTTTATGCTCATCTCTCCGTATGCTTTCTCTCATGCTGAAACCCAAAACTGAACATTATTAAGCACGTTCCGTTCGCCATGATGCGCAATCACGAACCGCAAGTGGCCTGTTCGCCTTGCTGCTGTTGCGGAGTGGACAGCAGACGGACGATCAGCCAACGATTTGCGGATGGGACTAAAGCCCCACATTTGACGGGCTACGGATGCATTCAAATCGGCGCCGGAGAGTCCCCACTTTCTCGGAGGCGATTATTAAACAGCCCCCGGGATGATTATGGTTTACTCACCACACGCGAGCGGTATAGTAGACAAGGCGATAAAATGGGACCAAAACTTCTACGTGCTGGAAGCCAGTCTTTGTCATCCCGAGGCCCTGTCCGGCCCCTTCTTCCGGATAAAGACGTAGAGAGGGCGATGGCTTGCCCGGTCGCCTTTCAAGACGGCGGAGAATGGAGTATCTGAAGGCTCCGAAAGCACACGCCACTCGCTCTAATCTTCTAAAGTGCCTTTCTCTACGAGCTTACCAATAGTCTTCGACTTCGACGCACACAACTTGAGATCTGTCATCATGGCTAAAGTTTTGACTGTTTTTTCTCGATTTTAATGGCTAAGATATATTGGTACTAATTGGGGGCCATTGCATTCCAAATTGCATCTATCGTCTAGTTACTTAAGTCGTACGCGATTTCCACCTCGAGATTGCATGGTTGGACAACCTATTCAACTCATCCAGCTTATTCAATCTTCCAAGTTCTCACCATTCATAGCCAATTTTCAGTTCCACCCTGCAATCATGTCATCGCCTACCAAGCGAACAGTCCTCATCACAGGGTAAGTGTGGTTGCCTCCGAGATACCTTCTATGCTCCTCTACTTTGCATTCCCCACGCTTGGAACGCTGACATGTCTCTGATAGATGCTCCCAAGGGGGTGTCGGTAACACGCTGGCACTCGCATTCGCAGCCCAAGGCCTACGCGTCTTCGCAACCGCCCGTTCGCTTAAGTCCGTGGCGAACCTCACAGAAAAGGGCATCGAAACGCTCACGCTCGACGTGACGAGCTCGGAGAGTATCGCTACCGTGAAAGAGGAGATTTCAAGACGTACAGGAGGTACCCTTGACATTCTGTACAACAATGCGGGTGCTCGTGAGTCCTTCTTCCCCATCTTACACTCCTCCCCAATAATAGAACCTGTGAAGCACGGAACAATTAACATGGTATTTTTCGGCATCAAGTCTACGAAGCGCCAGCAGTAGAAGCAGACTCCTACCGCACCCGCCAAATGTTCGACGCCAACGTCTTCGGCCTCTTCGACATGGTGACAGCCTTCACCCCGCTCCTCCTCGCCGCCGTCTCCACCTCCCGATCCTCCCAGCAACCCACAATCGTCAACGTCGCCTCCGTGCTCGCCCGCCTCCCGGGGCCCTTCACGTCAGGCTACAACGCCACAAAGGCCGCCGTCGCGGCCTACTCTGACACCCTCCGTCTCGAGGTCGCGCCCCTCGGCCTGCGCGTGCTGACGGTCTACATGGGCGAGGTGGCCACCTCCATCATCCAGGCCAACAATATCAGCTTCGACAGGGACAGCCTGTACGTCGACGCCGAGGATAAGGTGCGGGAGCGCAGCGCCACGCACGAGAAGACGACGATGAAGCCTGATGAGTTTGCGAGGCAGGTCGTGCCGCTTGTGCTCAAGAGCGGCGGGAGCCCGTATGTGTGGAAGGGTACGAACGCGTGGCTTGTTTGGTTCTTGAATGCGTTTGGGCCGAGGACGGTGTTTGATGGGACCATGAATGCGGGGGCGGGGTTGGACGATGCGGTGATTAAGAACAAGATTTTCCAAAGAGGCCAGGAAAAGGTTAAAAAGGCCTAGATTCTGGGTCTCAGGGGCGGGTGGTGTATGAGTGAATGATTGGGAGGTGATGTTACGTGATCTAGAGCGGCATCTTGATTTAATTTTTGACGCGTTTTTGGTTTTGGTTGTTAATTTTATTACTGAAATGAGCCGTAATCAGCAGGAGAGTATAACTACTAGAGCGTAATCGAATCCTCGTCTCTTCGAATGTTTCACGGAGTACCTCAGTTCAAGAACCTCACGAGACTTCCTTCACATTCCCCAGGGCTTCCACCTTCTAACCTCGATACATGACAGGTTCCACTCCTGCATCTCCACTCATTTATGAGCCTACTGTTCTGATTGCGAGATAGTCATGGGAACCTCTGATAATAATTGACCATGGAGGTCTTCGTTGGCAAATAACTCAAAGCCGGATGATTGGTGGTTCGAGTCGGCGCCGAGCCGACCCCGTCCAGTCCAGCTGGAGCCGTTACGGCCTTTTTCGGCATCGGCCTTTTCGTATATAACTTGATTCTGCTGTTAACCTACCAAGAAGATATCTCTTTCCCGCTGGACACGGCCTCACGGGTTACTCCATACGCGGCCCCCCTATCCCTGCTACGATGCCCAACATAGTAGGACATAACTCCGGCAACTCCATCCCTGCTACGGTGCCCCAACGTGGTAGGACACAAACTCCGGCAACGATCTGAAGAAACCTAGACCTCTACTTGAGGAGCCAAGATTGAGATACAATCTTGTTAAAAGCCGGTCGATGAGAGGGATGTAACGGGGACACTAGACGTTAATACCGTGAAGTGGGCACTCGGCGCGGCCTCTGTTAGTCAGTATCGCCGGATCACAAATCAACGATACCTTCTTACGAAGCATCACTTTCCAAGCATCAAATGTTGACATCACGAGAAACGTTGTATTGCAGTTGCCACAGTTGTCCTTTCGGCAACATTTACATAACCCTAGGCTACATAAGCGATCCATCTCCAGGAGAAGATACATATTGGAATAGAAAAACCATACGAGATCTTGACGACACACGTCCAAGTTACTCTCTACCTCCCCCCCGCCCTCTCTCTCTCTCTCTCTCACCATCTCCTTATCTAACTCCAGTAGCAATGTCCCTCCCATAAGGCGTGGCAGGTCAAGGAGGCAGGCGCCCCTCTGCAACTCCGGGCGGCAGAGTTAAAGGCGCCAGGGAAAGGCGAGGTCCTCGTCAAGGTGCTCGCCTGCGGCATCTGTCACTCGGACGTCGGCATGCAAAAAGGCGAATTCGGCCCCGTTCATCCCCGCGTCCCGGGCCACGAGATTGTCGGCGACGTCGTCGCCGTCGGTGAGGGCGTGTGTCGAGGTTCACGGGCGGCGAGCGCGTTGGAGGAGCTTGGCATGAAGGTGAGTTTGTACTCTCTGGAAACCTTCCCTTTGGATTATAAACAAGCTGGAGATGAGAGGGGTCTTTGGGGAGAGAGATCATGTTGAAGCACACTCAACTGACGTCCATACAAGGCCACGACGGAACCTGCGCAACATGCCAGCTAGGCCAATCCCAATCCTGCCAAAACGGCCCAATCAACGGCGTCACCCGCGACGGAGGCTACGCAGAATACGTCACCCTCCGCGCCCAAGCCGTCGTCCGCGTCCCAGCAGACCTCGACCCCGCCGAGACGGCGCCCCTCCTCTGCGCCGGCGTCACCGTCTTCAACGGCATCCGCAAGATGGAGATTCCCCAAGGAAGCCTCGTCGCCGTCCAAGGCCTCGGCGGCCTAGGCCACCTCGCCGTGCAGTACGCCACCAAGATGGGCTACCGCGTCGCGGGCATCAGCTCCGGCGCCGCGAAAGCGGATTTCGCGTCTGAGCTGGGCGCCGAGTGCTTCATCGACAGCAGCGTCGAGGACCCCGTGGCGAGGCTCAAGGCCCTGGGCGGCGCCGCGCTCGTGGTCGCGACGGCGCCGAGTGCAAAGGCTATCAGCCCCCTTACGGGCGCGCTGCGGGTGCGCGGCAAGTTGTTGGTGCTCGCGGCGGTTGGGAACATTGAAATCAGCTCGTTGCATTTGATCGCGGGCGGCTATTCGGTCCATGGGTGGCCTAGTGGGCACGCGCGGGATTCGGAGGACGCGATCGAGTTCTCGAGGAAGCAGGACGTCTAGTGCCTGATTGAGAAGTTCCCGTTGAGCGAGGCGCCTGAAGCGGTGGAGCGTATGATGTCGAATAAGGTGCGCTTCAGGAGCGTGCTGGTCATGGAGTGAAGATCTGTAGATTGCGACTTTGAGGCGCGGCCATTGTCAGGGGGTTAGCAAGATTACAAAGCCAAGAGTGTTCGAGGGTTGTTCGCCTTTGTTGTTGGGCAATAACCGTTACCACATACGGTGACGAGACAGCATGACAAGAGGTCAATGACTATGCGTAGGCCGTCTCGCAAGTGTTGGACCATGGGCACGGCGTAGAGAAGGACTGTACTGTAAGATGGCTCGCATCCAGCATTAGCAGACGTGTTTGAAGCGTCCCGCGAGATGATTGTCGTGCTCAGCGTGGCTTCTTCAGGCATCTCAGTAGTCAAGTATAGCAGCTCGTAGAGTGTGGCGTGCCCAAATCTGCAAAAGATCCCGTTGGTTCTCTGGCTTGTGTCCGATGTCTACCATACAACACGAATGAGTGGCCATGATGCACAGAGGAAGGCACCATCGCCTTATTGTGGTCAAGGGCGTCTACGAGGAGACCGGCCTCCCCCAGAGAGCAGGGGCAGGGAGAACTGGTTCGAAGTAAGGGAACAACGAGGGATCAATGACCACTTCAAACAAGATTCCGCACACGATTGCGTAGCAGGAACGAAGATGCTCCGACGGCCTCCACATGAGCTGGCTCTTGTAGCTGGCAAGAATAGACATAGCGATAGCAATACTAGCAAGAGAGGATGTTAGACGCAAATGAGACCGGTGCGTAAAACTCATCGCCTTCGAAGCCTGCAAGACCACGAAAGCCACAGCGACGGACGCTCAAGCATTCCATCGACTCTTTCTGAGCCAGGAACTGGAGCTCCCTCCTTACTTTTGCATCGAGCCCATGCAGCGGGAATTTGCCACTCGATAGTCCAGATCTATCCTTTAGTTGTCTACCCCACTCAGGAGCAAATCACTAGATTTCTTCTTCTGAAGACGTGACACACTGGACACTGCTTGTGTCGCGGAAGAAAGGGACAGGAGGCCTCATTGAGAAGGAGCCGTGACCTAGAACTGCATCATGCCGCAATCTGAGGGCGAAGGCGACAGTGGCCTGCATTACGCTGCCAAGTAGGTGACAAAATCGGTTGCCGCTCAGTCGGTACCCTCCCTAACTCCTTTCCTGTTATTTCTATTCCTAATATCCATATCTCTATTCTTTCATTTAAGGGTATTCTCATAGGAATTCACGAGAAACAAAACTTATAATAGTAACAACAAAAATGATAAGAAGATCAGGCATAGTAAACAGGCAAGTAAGCGCCAGAATCTTGTAAGCTAGCATCCCATTTTGCCGCCCACTTGGCTGCCATGTCCAGGCTAACGATGCACCGGACCTCTTTACTTCGACTTTGCTGAATGAGGGAAATTTGGTCCGCAGATTGAGGCGGAGACACCTTCAGTCGGTGACTTTGTTCATGTTGGTCAAGCATTGGGGCAAGTTCTGATTCTTGGCGTCTCATGGGGTGTGAACGGTCGGGTCATTTCGGAGGGTCGAATAGATCGATTTGATAAATGAACGGCGGGAAACAGAAATAGCTGGAAACAGCAATGGAAACAAACAAAACGACGATAAGGAGAAAGGGGGCCAGGGGTTGGGTTGCAGCTATTTTCTGCAAGTGGGGATTACCTCTGGCCACAGGCAAGATGGATATTCTGGTCCAGTACGACAGTAGCAGGCTTCTTGAACCGAAAACTACAGCATTGGAGCAGTCCGGAGGAAACGTCGTGTGCCAGGACCGACGCCTCGTCGGAAATTCTCACCATCGCCATCGAACAGCGGCAGCTGTTGTCGGAGCTAGGTCGCATCTGCTCACCAAGACTCCGCTTCTGGTTGATCACGGGCATCTGGCCCGGATCTAGGTAGCTGCTTTGCCTACAGCATTGACGAGCGACTACTCGTAAGTCGCTTGATAGAACGCTGGTGAGGATGCTTGGCAAACAGGAGACAAATGGTCGCAATAGAGATCGTCGTTTGGCATGCAAACGCCAAGAAAAGATAGGTCGCTGCTCTCCCAATTGATAGCACGGCTAATCGCCAGTTGACAACACGGCCCACTCGTCGACGTTCGTCTGTTGTCCACCCGGGTACCGGAGACCGGCAGACGTTTCAGTCCCCCGAAACTCAAGGCTTACTCTTGATCATTGTCAACATTGCCCGGCCAAGATGGAGCCAAGGCCAAACCAAGGCGTTGCCGTCTTGGATTTGAGAGGCTCCGGAGACTCTAAAATATCGCCCGAATTTCAAGATTGATTCCGTAGGGTTGCGCTGTGATTTCAGAGCCTCTGAATAACGTGGGTTGATATGTGACCTGGCGTTCCCTTTTTGCGCTCTTTCTCTCCTGCATTGCCCATCAGCATTAATTACGGCATGTAGAAGGGAGTACGGATGTGAAATTGGAAGATGGCTGTGGGCCTTGGCCACTCCACCTGTAAGCCAGTCGGTGCTGAGGCTTGATGTAATCCAAGGCCAGACAGAAAGCGCTCAAGCTAAAGCCAAGACGCCGAGAGGTTCCAAAGAACTGTTGCACAACGCAATACCATGCCCACGCGCTTTGCGGCCCATTGTCAGAAGCCAAGAAGGTCCTTCAAAGTCTGGAGCTCGTAAGCGGAGGCCAAGAGTGCATGGGCAAGATGGGAATGGAGCAAAGCCCACTATGCAAGAAGTCCTACTGGCATCTTGGCCTGATCCCGCCGAGCCAGGACACCACTTGCAGAGTCCTTCCTAATCTCGGCCTGGCGTCCGAACACAAGCACCCCATTCGACCCTCCGCATCTGGGGCTTTTCGGGGGACCACTCGTCCTTGAACTGCCGGGGTTGTCGCGATCGTCTGGGGAGGCGAACACGGTGGTCTGATTGAGTCTGGAATAACTGCGACCAAACGTGGAGGGTTCCAGCGTGGATGATGGCTCAAAACTCGAAAGAGTCATTGTGGTCTGTAGCTGCATCTGGGGCGTGCGGGCAGTCATGTTGCTGATGGTGCGGTCGTTTTCTCGCTCGGGTGTCGTGCATCCAAGATTTCGCCGGAAAGCTTGGTAAATTCCCGTGGCATTGGCAGGCTCATCGGGCTCGTGGCACATCGGCGACCCTTCTGGCGGCACAGCCAATGGATGATGACCATGCAGGACTGCACAAAGTGTGCGGGTATTCCTTCCAGAACCTTAATTCTTCGAGCCATGTTAGTGAGAGTGTGGGACGAGCAATCACCGATTCGGGTAGAGGGAGTGAAAGTCAATCTGTTGATGGAGGAGGATGTGGTAAGACTCAAGCATCGTCGAGACGGGCTAAACAAACTCACAAATCGCGCAAATAGAATGCATGTGGCGGCCAGTGAGTGTGAAAGGAGCAATGCCAAGACTTCTTAAAGGCCTCGTTTTGATTGCTTCTCCTCTGATTGAGTGTAGAGCGCTGGCGATGTGGTCCCCCCCCCCCTGGACTGGCGAGAGTTGAAGCCAGGGCGAAACCACCCATCCTCGCAGGTCTTGGCATTGCTTGCACAGCCTCATTGAACGGCGAAGCGGCGGGCGCAAGGTGGACAGGATGGAGGATACAGGCTGAAGGTGCTTGGTATCTGCAGCCAAGAACGCCCAGCTTTCGTCTGGCTGGGCTTTGAAGCGGCAAATTATCAGGTTTTGCTGATACTCGAGTTCTTGGGAATGGTCTGCAGCGAACACACCGTGCCAGTGAGGGATCCCGTGGACAGGCGGGGTCGGCCATGATGCGATGGCATGGTTTGTGAGACGGCTCGTCGTTCTTGGGCTCATGTCTTCTTTTTTCGACCAAGCTTGGCGCCGTAGCCAAGAGGGAGAAGGTCAAGTCGACCGGTCGACGAGACCGTTCACCAAGGGGATTAGGGGAGCAGTCTGACACCAATTGGCGTACCGCCATCGTGGGTCGAACTGCCAAGAGTTGAGCGACCCGCTCACCTGAATACTCGTGAATATGACACTACTATGTATGGACGGGCGTCAAGCCTCGGGCACGTTGGCACGTTGAGTGCATGTTTTAAGGTAATCGACGGGGCGACATCTGGCTGGATCGACCAACTTAAGAAAAAGATGGCTGTGTCGGTGCGTTTGCGATGCAGTGTATTACACAAATTGCTAAGTGCCGTGATGGGAACCCGACAACGAGAAGGCAAATTAGATAGTCGAAAGGCAAAATAAAACGAAACCGTAGGGAATTGAGTGGTGGTTGAGTGTAAAGGGAGAAAGTGAACTGCCACACTGGGGAGGAATCTGTGGATGGCCGGTCAGGGACGGGATGATCTTGGGAAGGGGAAGGGGAAGGGGAGGGGGTCGAGAGGTACCTGCCATTACTAGAAATGAGTCTTGGCGGATCGAGGCTGGGTTGGTACTGCGTACTGTGGTAACTTCTATTGGTGTCGACTCGAGGCACGCAGTGCCACAGTACTCCGTATCGTACCTACCTTACCTATTCGGAGGTACGTATCCCTCGGACCCCGACAACTGCGTCGTTTTGGCACACGGCATCTCACCCTCCTCACCACGCCGCACGCCGCACCCTCGCCCACCACCCCAACCCAATCTTTTTCGATTTCCCATCTGTGCTTGCTTTCAAGCTCTCGGTTTAGGGAAAACGTTCAAGTTCCCTCATCCACGTATTTAAAGCTTGGCGAGCTCCACCGCATCTCACCCGCACCGAATGCGATGACCAACGCCCGGCACATCGGCTTCCCTTGCGTGGGCCATAACAGGCGGTATTGCGCAACACTTTCTGGACGAGCCGGTTTGAACGGCTTCTGGCTGACCATAGGGGAGCGGCGACTGTATCGTGGACATGTCGAGAAGAGGGGGCGACAACCAGCCGACAACAGGCGAGGGCATTTGGATTGCGCGTAGCCCTTGGCGCTAAGGACTTGGCAGTCTTGGCTGCGGCGGAGAGGCCAAGAAGAGAGGAGCGGAAAGCTTCTTTTGGCTCTTGGGCATTGCCCCAAAACGTTGTCAGAATCTACAGCGTCCCCCCCCGTCACCCGAAAGTCACCTGCCCCCCCCCGAGGGTGCCGTCCCCCAGCTTATCGAGGGTCCGGCGCCACTTGTGTGTCCGGACTGTCGAGTTTGTTCCACACACGCTCAACTTGCAAGTCGAAAAAGTGGAGGGCGAATCGCTCGGTTAAGCAACTGGGTTGTTTGCTGCGGGTTTGCCATCCTTCGCAGCGTGGCAGTTTCGGTGTGGCCTGCGGAAATGACGAGCTGGCTGCATCCCGTCTTGCCGTGTGCGGATCGTTATTCTTGGGCCGGCTCCATGGGATGGAGAGTTATCAACATTTACGGGGTATGCGCTTATCGGAGCGTCCGAGGCCGCCGTCGCATCCTCGTCCCCACCCCGTGTCGTGTGTGTCTCTTTTCGCTTTCTGCTTCTTTTGGTACGAAGGCACGGAGACTTGGTCTCTTGGCTCTTGGGAGTCTGGGACTCGAAGCATGGAGGTCTTGGTATATGGAGTACTAAGAAAAAGCGTGGAAGGCTTGTCGTTCTCGCGCCCCTTACCCTGTCAATCGGGCACCAGGCATCTCCCATGTCCTGTCAATCGTCCTATCTCTCTGGCTGGTCGCCTGAAAGTGTACTCCGTACTCCGTACTTCTCAGTGCGACGGCTGCTTTGCCCGTGACATCAGGTACGGGAGTACTTGGCGGCTTGTTTCTCAGGACAGGTCAGTCTTGGACTCTTGTCCCGTCTGGTCACCCCCCCCCCCCCCAAGACCCCCAGAGACCCCAAGCAATCCAAGGCCCAAAAATACTCGGCTCACCTGCTTGGCTGGAAACAGTGCTCCCTCATCTGAGACGGTCGCAGGCTTTCTCTTCAGACGACACAGAGTGTTGTGACCCGTACTCCGTAGACAGAAATACCTAATACATGGCCATTGTCTTGAGGAACATCCCCAACGAGCCGCATCGATGATGGGTGTGTGCCGCCGTTATTCCCATGAGCGTGGCAACCGGTGGCAGGGACAAAGAAGGCCAGATTTTCCCAGAAAGCTGGCAAGAACCATACCGGTACGAAGGCCGCCGCCGAGTAAAGGAGGACAGGAAATCAAACGCTGCGCTTGCGGTCATCAGCTGATGGCGAGCTATTGACCAACGTAAATGGACGCGGGTGCTCGCAGGATGAAGCAATAGGAGCCAAGTGCAAATGCCAAGGTCTCGGCGAAGGGAGAAAGAGTGAAAACTGGAGATTTGCCAAGACGCCCCAAGACAGCCAGAGTCTTGGCATCGTATGCGCCCGGATGTTGCGGTGTTGGCGAGGTACTTGCGCTGTCAGTGGGTGCTGTCTGTTTTCTCATCAGGATTGGACTGTGCTGCTGAGCCTCAGCTATCTCTTTTATGCGTGTTTGCATGATAAAATTGTTAGAGGGAAGTGTGCTGACTACAGTGTAATTCCAGGCAAGGCTTGACGCACCTTGCCTGCCTTGTTGTCTCCCCCCATCATCCGCGACATCAGCTCGGCAGCCCTCGCCACCTCGGACCAATCAAAAGTCGGCTGGTCTCACAAGCCCCGGTCGCCAAGACTTTTGCCAAGACTCTTGGAAGGGTAGGAAGAGCGGAGAGGAAATGTGATTCATGAATAAAGAGAAGAGCCCATCGTCCATGCCCCCCAGATCAGACTGATTGATTTCCCTCGAGAACACCCAGTCTTGTGAGAGTCGGCAGAAAAACATAAAAGCATTGCTGACCGTCTCTTTTTTCCCCCGTTCAGCTTTGTAGTATCCCAAGTATACTCTCGCCTGTTCTCGGCAATCTACAACCTGAAGCATCAAGAAGGACCCCACTCCTACTTACACAACCATCCAATCCCAACGCGCCTCACGGGACCCGGCACATTCCAATCTTCCGGACTCTCTTCACCGAGCCCGCCAGCTCGGTCAACACTCACGCACACATACACACACCCCGGTCACCCACCATGTCCGCCAAACAAGAGAATGAGAGCTCTGCGAGCAACTCTCCCAAGAGCAGCACCCCCGCTCCCTCAACAACAACCAGCAACACTTCCCAGTCCGCCAACAGCACCAGTGCAGAGGACAACCTCATCTGCAAGTGGAACGCCTGCAACCTGAAGTTTGTCTCACCCGAGGCTCTCTACGTAAGTGGTGGCAATGCCACACTAAATCTTTATTTCACCCGAAACATCTCACTAACAAGATTAACAGGAGCACATCTGCGAACGCCATGTTGGCCGCAAGAGCACCAACAACCTCAACCTCACTTGCCAGTGGAACTCCTGCAGGACGACCACTGTGAAGCGTGACCACATCACTTCTCACATTCGCGTGCACGTTCCTCTCAAGCCTCACAAGTGTGAGTTCTGCGGCAAGTCATTCAAGCGCCCTCAGGACTTGAAGAAGCACGTCAAGGTAAATCAACCAACAAACCACTCTCGCCATCTTCTTCAATCATGCTCACACACATCGACAGACCCACGCCGATGACTCGGTGCTCGTCCGCTCGCCCCAGGACCAAGGTCTCAACGGCTATCGGGCGCAGCCTGGCAAAGGTATGTAGAGCTCAGTTTGCACACCCCTCCAAAGTCTGTCCTCTATTTTCTCCAACTAGAGGCTAATTTGCCTCCAGCTTCTTCTAGCTACTATGATCATAATGGCCACATTCGGACTAACTCCGCCGCCTTCGCACACCAGGCTGGGCATGCTAGCTACTATGCACCCCAACCATCTACAAACTATGGACTGTACTTCAACCAACAACCCTTGAACCCTCCCCGAACTGAGTACATTGGCCACCACGGCGGCTATGACAACCGCAGCAAGCGCGCTTTCGACATGGTTGACGACTTCTTCGCCCACGCCAAGCGTCGCCAGGTCGACCCGACCTCCTATCAACAAGTCGGCCGATCCCTTCTCCCCCTTCACGGCGCTCTCGGCCTGCACGCCGGTCCCATGCCCGGCTCCGACTACATGGCAGCCCCGCCTCAGCAGCACGTTCACCACCAACAGGCCGGCGGACCTCCTTCCGGCCCCGGACCCATGTCCCAGCAGTACTACCTGCCGCCCATGCCCAACGCCCGCACCAAGAACGACCTGGTCCAGATTGATCAGATCTTGGAGCAGATGCAGAGCACTGTCTACGAGAACTCGCACCAGGCCACGCAAGGAATCCACATCCACGGCCAGAACACTTTCGATCTCCGCCACAGCCCCTCGCCCCCGGGTGTTCACAGAGGCTCTCACGCCGGCATTCCAGTCACCCAAGACGGTTACCCCGTGTCCGCTGCTCACATGGCGTCCCCGTTGACCGCAGTCTCATCGACTGGAACCCCCGCCGTCACTCCTCCCTCAAGCACCATGTCATACACATCTGGTCACTCGCCCAGCCCCTCTTCCTCCGGCATGTCTCCCCAGTCGAGACACAGCTCCACCGCTTCTTCAGTCATGTACCCCAATCTCCCGGCCGTCAGCTCCGTCTTCCCCGGCCAGTCCACTGCCTCCACGCTCGGACCCAGCTTCGACAGCAACGAGCGCAGACGCTACTCGGGAGGTATGCTCCAGCGTGCCGCGCCCTCCTCGCCAAAGTCCCCCATCATCTACGAGGACTCCTCCAGCGTCACCACTCCCAAGGCCGAGTCCGTCGCCTCATCCGTCGGCTCTCCCTCATCCGAGTCGGACACTAGCGAGGGCGCCCGCGAGCGCGAGGAGAAGTACGACCAGTGGCTCGAGAACATGCGTACCATCGAGGCACTCCGTGAGTACATCCGCGATCGCATCGACCGCAGAGAGTACTCCGACGAGCCC